GTGGTTTCTTCGTTGAATGTTTTGCGTACAAAGTTTCCAAGGAAGCGTAGTTGACGGAATCGCAACCCGTGCACCATCCTAAGAGTTTTTTCGCTTTGTAACGCGTCTTTATCCCTGCGCGCACACGCAGACCTGTCACGGTTTTCGACAATTCGTTTTGTTTCCCCAACTTCCGAAACGCGAGGGATTTTCAAAACCTTTCGGTAAACAGCGACGGTTTCGCCTTACCTTGGGGGCATCGTTGGATCGGAACTTTATACGGTCTTCCCGTTTCGCGAGCTTTGGCGGCCGCTCATTGTTCCCAGGGGAAACGGGTTTTCCAGCGAACGCTGTATGTACTGCAAGAAAGCGAACTTGCTCCGCCCTGTTCTTTCTTCCCCCTCCGAACAAACGCCCGGGGCGCAGTCGCGACGGCTTTGTTTCGCGTCGCTGAGGCCTTGCCTGTTTTGATTGTAGCAAAGACAATATTACGCCCTTCGGCGATACTTACTTTCGCTTCTTTCTTTTTCTTTTCTTTTTTCTTTGCTGTTTTAGGTGCGAACAAGGTGTCGTCGGTTCCTTTATCTCGCGTTTCAAAGCAAAACAACTTGATTTTCTTTATCTCCCGGACGCTTCTCGGCAGCGAACGCTTGTTTTCTTGCGTGTGTCGCGTGGTGTCATCCGCCGGGGTTACCCTAAACACTCAATCAAAATAATGCTGTTGGGTTAACTTTACCTAAAGTACTTCGTAGAGCCAGTCGCTCAAGTTTACCCGAGGGAGTGCTTTGCGGAAAAGCACACACCGTGTTCTTTTGTGGCCAGTGGGCGATTCGAGCGTACAAAACAAGGCGCCTTTCACGTGTCTGCGAACAGCGCTTTAACGCGCGTAAAAATATAGGGGCGGTGAATTAAGCTACAGTGGGTCAGCCTACAGACTATTTTTCGCGTATAAGGTATTCTCTCATCTAATGCCAGCCGACTTGGCCGTTTACATCACTGTCCTTGGGCCTAGCGTGTCAAGGGAATCGTCGAGAATCCATGCGTAAAGCGGCTGCTGCCAGCGAGCGTTGGAGCAAAGTACTCAGTGGATCGCAATCACGTGTCTCGCCCCGTCGCTGTCATTGGCTCACTGGGACCGTAGCTTTCCTAGTTCAGTCTTCCGTTCAGTTAGCACGCAAGCTGAGAACCATTTCGCCTTCGCTCTGCGATCGTGTTCCTCTCTACAAAAGCGCAATCGCTCGCCTTTTCAAGTGCGAAAAAAAAAATCCTACGGAGCAGTTTTTTTCTTCACCACTCTGCTCCCGTTCAGACCGTTCAGACGTATTTCCGGTATCGGCGGCGTCTCTTTTCAAAAAGTAACAAACCGAGAAAAAAAAAGGGAAGAAATGTAAGCCCCCCTCCAATTTTCGATCTTCCAAGCGGGAGCAAGCAATCGTCCGGACACGTCCCACGGAAGGCTACTCCGTCTCTCCTTGCGTTGGACCGGAGCGGACATTACGATCCATCCCAGCACAATCCAGTGCTGTGTAAGTGTCACGTGACATTCGGGGCAGGCGCAGTGGCAGGATGAGAACGGCAGGGACGTCTTTTTGGACGCCCATGGACGTGGGACCCCGAAACGTTATCGAAGGCAGGACGCTGGCGCTGGAGGCGGGACAACTGAAGGACCTGTCTGCTGGCCTCATCCTGTCAGTTATTAAAGTCGCGGGATCCGTTCCCAGCTCCGATTGGCTGCAATGGCTTCGTAGCGTCCGCAGCGCTCCATCGTGCAAGAGCGAGAAAGGCAGTCCACAGGAATGGGGAGGGAGGGAACGCGCCAAGACCGCGGATTCCTCGAAGGTACGGGCCAGCAGGCGTTGATTAGGAACGGTTTTCTCTCCCGGCGTTGTTCCCTCGAGCCGTCTTCTTCAGTCGCCGACCGCCCTGCCCAGCCAGTTTACTCGGGAGGGGTGGCAAAACCGGCGACTGCTCGGCTCTTGCGCGCCCCCCAAAGATGCCTTTGTTGTGTGGCGCGGTTCTTGATGAGAAATCCCGTGTCGGTTCGCTGGCCGCCGAGGAGGCTATTCCTCCTTGCTCGCCTTCCTTCCTCCCTCCCGCTTCTATCCTATTGTTCGCTTTCGATTCCCGATCTTTTGCGTGGGCTTGGTCCGATGACCGTCTCTGCTCTCTCGCGCGGCCCTTCCGCGTTTGAGTTGTCGAGTCGCCAAGAGGGCCACGCTCGGCACCGACGTCGTTCGAAAGAACGGTACGCGATGGACGAGGGAAACAGTTACCCTCCCTTCTATACGTCCTATTGTTCGTCCTTTAAAAAGACTCTTCCCTCTCTGTCCCTTGGCATTTGTGTGTGTGTGTTTTAGTTTTTTTTTTTTTTTTTTACGATTTCTGTTTTGTTTTGATCTGGATGAGCATTGTATCGGCGTGCGGTTATGCGCTAGGCCTGCGTTAAAGACCCTAGGACATCAAGGAACCGATCTTGCATTCTTGTACTGTTTCATAGTTGATTCATGTTACAACGCCGTCAACTCTGCTGGCGCGAGCGCCAGGAGCTTTGATTACCAAAGGACAGCTTTGTGTTTACTAAAACACAAGTGGTCTTGGCCTCCCAACAGACTTCCGGTTGCTCCATCTAGTTCTTTTCAGAATTGCTAGGGCGCTGCAATGCAGAAACAACCCGCTTGAATATTTAACAAAGTTTGAATTGTGCTATTCAACATATACGAGGCAATCGGTCGTCGTCTTATAGCATTATTAAAAAAAAAATCTCCCATATATCTCTCGCTACGGATCCCTTAGCGTCAATGACCTGTTTCGTTGACGTGGTGTGGTGCGATAGTGGGGACTGCTTGTCCTTGCATTTTACCGGAAGATCATGAACATGCAACAGCGTCTGCTTGGTCGTATTAAAGCAGCGTTGCGGTTTTGGCGGCATTCCCAAATGACGTCATCATTTGTGTACAATTCACGCTACCGCAAATCCTGCGCACATTCGCTTCCCATCGAGGGGATCGCACCACGCTTGCGAAAGCTTCTGGTGTGATAAAAAAAAAAAAAAGAGAAGTCCCGACGTTGTTTTGTGTACGCGGATTCCCCGTCATGGCCGCTTGCTGCGCTGTGGTGGCTCGCGTTCTTTGGCCCCGCTCTGCCGGGAAGGGGATGTTTTGGGCCAGGAAGTCGCTCGATTGGAGGACCCTCATCCCGCGGCTATTGCCCCCCGGGAATTGCCCCCCCCCCCCCTCCCCCCCCTTGTGTTCGAGGGTTCGCGGCATCCCCCAAGGATCTCTGGTCGTCGTTTGCGATGATCGCTTCATTCTTTGGCGAGTCCGTTCACTCTCCCCCGCCCCGCCTTCTCCGAACTTGCTGGTTGGTCTTGCGTAGCGGAAATTGTGACTTGTCTTTTTTTTTTTACCCTTCATTTTGTTGTCTTTGTTTTCGATTATATCGTCCGTTTTACCTTGCGTTGGACCGCAGCGGACGGTACGGGCCGCCTCAACCAATCCAATGTCGTGTGTATGTGTCGCGTGACCTTCAAGAGGAACGCGCGGAGGGTATAATCCCGTAGTAGGTTCATGGCTCGAGATTGGCTGGGATGACTCGCAGTCTCGGCTGCGGTCTGTCGTAAGAAGATACACGGAGTCTAGCAAGGGGATGGTTTTCGTGGGATGCAACGCTCTTTTGGGGGTCGTCCTTGGTTGATGTATGAAGGCGCCCGGTCGTTCGAAACGCATTTATATCCCGTGTCCAAGAAAGGGTTTCGGTGTTCGCTTCGTGCGGAATTTTCGGGCATATGAAATCATTCCGATGCCTAAAAAAGAAACGCTGCGCACAAAAGTAATCACGGATTTAAAGCGAGCGCAATTTTCCTTTCGTTGTTACTTGAGCGTCGACGAAGTTGCCATCCGTAGGGGGATTTTGTCGGATGAAGTATGAAATAGAATTTCGTTTCGTTGAAACGCGTACGTTCACCGCATGCTCCTTTCGTCAACACTGCCGAAGTTTATGCGTACGCTCGCTGCTTGCAGGTGCACGAATGATTTAGGGCAGGGGTCTCCGAACTCCGGCACGCGGAGGCGTTTCTGCCGGCCCGCCGGTGGCCGCTGTCTTTCCAGTGACCGTCGGCCCGCCGGGAAAAAAAATGCAAAATGAATGCGCGTCAAAAAAGGAAAAAAAAAAAAAGCGTTTTGACGCGCATTTAGTGTCCGAATTTTCTTTTAGAAAAAGCTGCATCGAATCTTGGGTGCTCTCGCCCTGTCATGTATTGGGTACTTACCAATACTATGTATTAATTAATTACTATTTCTAGTTCCCCAATTTTTGATGTCTGTAACTATGATAAAATTCCTTTCCGTTCTCATATATATTTTGACTATATAGTGTACTTTTGTAATGATTATTTTATATTGTCATCGTTACATCTACAGTTTTCTGCCCTGTGTGAAGATGCCAAATTTCCTATGCACTTCGATTTGATGCCCAGGGAGTTCTCTGGGTCACAATAATTTTGAAATTTCATATTTAGCAACACATGCTGCTTTTAAAAATAAAATATGTATTGATCCAAATTACATATTTTTTGACTGTTTGCTCTAGTTTAAGATTTTTGTTAATTTTTGATAATTGACTCCCAAATGTTACATGTTTGCATTCTTTTTTTTTTTTTATTAACCACCCAGACTTCTTTTTTGGCTGTTAACCATGATCTACTGCTGATAGCTAATGAATTCGTAATGACTGCATCATCACACACCATAAACAAACTGCTTTGTACTAATCAGTGACTCAGAAAGAATGCAAGTTTTAAGGGAGCAGCTATATGGTCACTTACATACTGTACCTGCTCCCTTTTTAGAAATGGCAGTGCATTTGGGTAACTAATTTTTTTAATGTGAATTTACAAATGTTTAATAGATTTTCACACTATTTCTTGTTATATGCAATGCAATGTCTTGGTTTGTGTGGTCAATTTTGTTAATTCTCCTAGTTTAGTTACTCTGGCTAAATCAAAGCTGCTTTTCTTCTTCCAGGTCCACAGCACAACTGAAAAGCATGGCGATAATGGCATGTTCTTCATTGATGACCCCCAGGTATATACCCCATAACATCCCTCCTAACTGCTTCTGTACCCTGTTTCACCATAACTTGGTACAGGGAAAGTTGTGGCCTGTGTGAACCAGCTTATAGTCCATTCTAATCGTAGCCTTTTGAGAGCTGCCGTATTTGCCTACTGGGTTGTGGAACGCATTCTGAGCATGTGCAGTGGCTTTTTGCTGCAGAGTATCAGACACTCCACATGAGTTTGCAGCCCAGCAACTCGGCGCCTTTCGCCTGGTGCAACGATGTACCGCTAATAACTTAAGTAGCATGGGGTGCGGCTTATTGTGTTTGAGCTTCTTGCTTTACGATTTGTACTTCAGCCTTCTTGTCAGCATCTGCAATTTTTTAAATTTTTTATCCACATTATTTATATACAGATTGATGCACATCCTTTTATTCTATCACTGGCCACTAGAGCCCTCTTTCCTCTCTAGAAAGCATTTATGAAATAGTCAGACTTTGGCACTCCATAGCCTCAGATACTTTTGCGCCAATAAAACTCAATCACTCAATCTTGTCAGCATTGGCTGTGGAGCATTAAGAGGACCAGGTTTCAACACACCATGTTCTTTAAGCTGCCGGTAAGCCGCGTCTCAGCGTGCACTTCAAACAAAGTACTTCTGCTAAATTTTATCTGATTGTAGTGTTCTGGCCTCCATTATCATGAATCATTTGTGCCCTTGATACCTGTAAAAGCTGCATCAAAATTAAATCACATGTACAAGACTTGCCTTTCTGGTATTGTACAGCTGTCATTGCTGACCTGAGTAAACCCTGAAACATTTTTAATTTATGGGTTGGCATGAACACTATTGCCAGTGGTAGAAAGCAGGTATGCTGCAACCATCGGGGCAAGTCGACGGGACAATTTGTTATAACTGATGATATTCAACTTCAGTCACTATGCTTTTGATTGCCACTAATTTTGTGAACTTTTCGTAATTCATCCCGATTCATTACATATTGTTCTACACAAGTTTTGAAGTCTTGTTAGCTAGCTTGCTTCCACAGGCATTTTTATTGCTTGCTGTAATGGTTTGCTCTTCTGTATTAAATGCGGCTTAGTGGATGCCATAGAATGCTTCTGCAAGCTTGACTTTTGCTACTGTCGATTGTGAATTTGAGGTCATTTAACATTGTGGCTCTGGAATCCTCTTGGTTGATTTCTGGTGTGAAACATTTACCATAACTGTGGTAGGGTGGTGAGCTGAGCTAATAGACTACTTCAATATTAAATCAATCATTGCATTCTGGGAAATTGTTGGCCAGGAGTAGAGTGTGAATGGATTTTGCTGCCCACTGATTCCCACAAACTTAGCGCCTCATTACGCCGCAATGAGGTGCTAAGTTTTCTAATAAGCTCGTTGGTACACAAGACACAATGAAAACAGGCACACAACAAAACAACTTGCCATGTCATTATTGTATGGCTAAAGAGGCCATGTGATTACCCTATGGCCATAAGTTATGATTTGGCTTAAAAATTGATGCATTCAGTTCTCTTGGGTGCACATATTTTACTGGATTATTTCCACAGCCAGTCAATAACTGTTCTTATACTGCAAGACACTGTAACAATTGGGAGTGTGCGAATAGGAGCTCAAATCAAATAGCACTGCATCATTCATAACTAGGGTGTGTACTTTCCGGTGTTTATTTGTGAGAAAAATCGGCGGATGTTTTTCGGTGTTTATTTATTTTCAAAGCACCGGTGTATTTCGGTGCAACGTCTCATGACGAGGCTAAAATCGGTGATTATCGGTGAAAAAAAAAAGCGATTGATCACAGACAAAGAGTTCCAATTTTATTCACATAGTTCATACACTTCTTCTCTAGGAAGCAACTATTTCTCACACTTGGTTATCATAGTAGATGCCAAGCATATTTTCATGCTTGCATCTACACGCAAGGAACGTGCTGCCGTCATGGCAGCACGTTCCTTGCGGTTCACAACCCGCAATTATGAAAACGCACACTCCTGTACGACACGGACGTTGGCAGTGTCTTCCAGGAACCACAGCAACCTCTGAATACATGGCTTGCACCGACATCACTTGGCCAGACACAATGAGGAAAAGGCACGTGAGAGCCTACCCTCCACTGTGTTAATTTTTCCACAAAAGGGCGCCATGGGAGACACAATGGGGGAAAGGCGTATGAGAGCTTAGCTTCCACTGCGTTCACTAGACGCTTTTGACCCCCAGAAAGGAGGTTGGACTGACGCCACCTGCAAGCCATGTATAAACACTGGAAGAATGCAGGATCCACGAGATAACACGTTTGACGAACCTCTACGGGGTAAGGGTTTCGCTAGGTCGGAAACGTGCAACGACCGGTGTTTTTCGGTTTTAACCAGGGCGAAAATATCCAACCACCGGTGTTTTTCGGTTTTAACCGATTTTATATTTTCATCACCGACGGATGTTTATCGGTGTTTTTCGGTTAAAACCGGAAAATGCACACCCTATTCATAACCTACAGTGCAAAAGAAAGCCATGGCAACCGGTTTTTCTAAGACTGTTGAAGCTATAAATGATGCAGCACTATTTTATTCGGACCACTATTCACACGCCTCTAGTAACAATGCAATCTGCACTTCTGTTGTATTCACAAAAGATTAAAATAACCAAATTTTACAGCTTGGTTGTTGACCAGAATTCACCCTTTCAAACACACTACTAAGAGGAAGGGGAGAAATCGGCAGTTGCTTGTTAATGTTAACTGCGTCATGCTGCATAGTCTACATTGTGTAGCCCTGCTGTTTTCGGAGTTCTTTGTTTTTGTGCATTGTATGGGTAGCTGAATTTAAGGTCAGCAGTGTATTGGTCAGAACTACAGAGTTTATTCAAACTGATATATTTCAAGAGCATGATATATTTCAAGAGCATGATGAAAATATCATCACTTGGACCACACGAAGCCAAGCTTTTTATCTTTTTAGTATACTTTGTAGAGTGAGTGTTCCTTCTTACAAACTTTCTAAGTATTCTTTTGCTTAATAATACATCCTACCTAATAATTATGCTAACGGCTAGTCTTTAGCCCAGCTGGAACAATTAGCAGTACATAAAAACGGAAAAGCAAAAAAAAAAAAAATTGTGGGTACACATTTCGAATCTGCAACTTAAATAAAAGCTTTTTTTTTTTGAATTACGGATTAAAAGTAACATTGAAATGTAAGCAGCAAAGCATTAATGCAATTTTTATGGTCTTCACAATTTACGGCATAAACCGTATTACAGCTTGATATGCACTGAAAGAACGCTTGCTTGCTACTCCAAATTAGAGCTCTTGTTTACTTTCCTCTCTTTAGAGGGTAGATTATCTCCCAGTCTTCAGGGCACAGCAGGAAACTTTGTTATCTCTTAGCTTTTAAATAAATGTGATAGTTGCAATTAGGTTTCTTTTGTTTAAACTGCAAGCTTTTTTAACACAAAGCTTTTCGTCGTCATCTTTGAGATGAAGCAAAGGCGTGTTCGGTCACTCGTTTGGAATCTTCAAGAAATAACTTGATATTTCCAACTTCGGGAAGCCCCTGCGTACAGTGCCAGTTTCAAGATGAACGCTAAAAAATCTCGCAGATTTTCAAACCCGATTCTAATGGTCAATATATCTTAATGCTTGAGAGCCAACTTTCCTTTCTCCTCTGCCATCGACAGAACGACCAAGGCACGGAGGGGAGTGCGGACTTCAGTGACACGGATCACTCCTCGGGCATTGGCGATGACGAGGACGCGGCCGAAGGATCTGGTGACGATCACTTGACGGATGAGGAAGTGGGGTCTGGGACGGTGGGTCCAGGTGAGCTCTGCCACGCCATGGCCTGAAAAAAACGATAGACCTTTTTCCAAAAGTGCGTGCCATCTACACTAGGTGGCAACTTTTCTTGGCATTTCCGAGGAGAGCATGCGCACACCTTTAATGGGCACTCCAAAAGAGAGGGGGCATGTGTGCCTTTGACTACATTGCCAGGAAAATTTGTCCCAGTGTATTACCAGAGTTCGCCATTGCTTGGGTGCATTCTCCGAGCCTGTATTGGACAAGAGAGCTGCGGCAGCGTTAGGTGTGAATTCCGCCTGGCTCGTATAAAAAACTAGCATCGCGAGCATCGTGCCAGCGTTAAAGGACTTGGGTCCAATTGCACGCTTCGTTCCCAAGAAATGGTGGCTGCCAATGTTGCTCGATGAGATTTTGGAAAGGGTCTGTTGGCTGGCATTTGAGTGGACTCACAATTCAGAAATCTACCACAAAATAGTGTCGTGGCATCTTTAAATGTCTTGTATGATACGGTAAAAGATTCTTCAACTCTAGTCAAGTTGGGAAACTGCTCATTGGACCTGCATGAATGCAAAAATGCGTCGTTAACTCTTAACTTTGCAGTTCTTTTATTTGTTTATTTTTATTTGATGGCAGTATGGTGAGGCCTTTGATCTGGTTCCTCGCATTGTATATTCCCAACTGTAGTTTGAGGACAATACATGTTTTAGAAGTGCGGACTACACGAGGAATGGCTTTTTTAAAATGCACTTGTCCTCTGTGTGCTTCTCACCCAGTGTGGTGGTGGAGATTTTTTCCACGCATAGCATTAGTCAGCAAGAAAAGCTGACTGTCTGTGCATTGCATTTGCCCACGATGTTACCGTGGGTGTTGAGCAAGGTAGCTTTGCCCGAGCCGACGGATTGAATCGACCTTCTATTGAAGGCACAAACACCCACTGCTTGCAGTTGTAAGGTCATCAGTACAGGTAAATAAGTGGTCTTACATTCTTTCAAGAACCACAGTTGCAATGCCTCAAAGGAAGAGCATTGACTCATTTTTGTTTGTTTTACTACTATGCCGATTATAAACAGTATGAACTACCTATAAAAGGAATGCAAATTTAAGTGATATTTTTCAGGGAACTGATGACTCGTAATTTTAACGGGTGTATGATATGGATAAAGTTTACACATACCTAGTTTGTATGATTTATACAGCAAGTGCAGTCTAAGAAAACTTTCGGCAGTGACTATTTGGCCATCCACTGTCAAAATAGTTTGATTGTTATCCGACATCCGTGGTGCCACTCCTGCAGACATTAGGATATTTTTCAAACATTGCTGACGTTCCCCTTCAAAACATTTACTGCACTATTTTGACGTCTTCTGCCAAACCTGCCACCAAACAGACCAAAGTTTGGGCTTAGTTTCGGACTGGAATAGGATCAAAAGTAGCAGTTAAATTGTCACCTTGTTCGATGTCAGCATCGCAGATTTTTCAAGACATTTTTCAGTGTCGTGGAATCAACTGCAGTTTTTAAGACCTGATGTTTTAAGCATTAAAGAATCCAGGAAAGTTTATCAAAATCGGGCAGTGTATCCTTTGCTTGGTAATAGTGTGCTGAACGTCACCGTACGGATGAATTGATTCACATTACTTACAACAAACTTGAGAGGTTCTCAGTCACTCTGCAAATCGGATTATAAAAATTCAAGCTCATTGTGCGACATTTGGGATCTAACAACCTGTGCTGAACTGAACTCCAAAGTTACACTTTTTGGCATTTGAAACTTTGTTGTTCTTTTGCACCGGTATAAAAATATTGAGGAGGCAATATTTCCATTTGTAACTTTTCATTTAGCGTCCCGATGGTTTAGTAGACACCCCAGACTCGTAATTCACTAACAAAAAGAAATTCTAAACGAAGCGATTTCACAAACCAGGTCTAAAAATTTGACTTGGCAACTGTTGATTCTTGCTTGCACGGTAGTGGAGGTGCAGGTAATATTCCTAGCTCAATGGTACCTAGTGTGTGCACTTACACTTGTCCCCCATCAAAATATATAAAAAAAATATTTAATGCTTTACGGAAGTGACATTGCATACACAAATGTTTGACAATGGACTTCGAAATAGTCACTACCAAAACTTTTTTCAGCCAAAACTGTCATCTCGTGCGGACGACCGTCTGGAATTTATAGTACACAATACACACAACTTCTTGTCATTAATTTTGGTAGCCAATGTAAGTATTCATGCTTAGAAGAAATATAAAATTGTTTCTGGAAACCTGAAATCCAGATAGAATCCAGATCGATTTCCAGTTCCAGAATCCAGATTGCAAAAGGTTATACCGGGTTTTTTTGGTACGCTCTCGTCTGCTCGATGACTCCCTGCACTTCGTTTACTCAGTGCACTCCGTTGGCTCCTTGTCGACGCACATCATTTCAGTTGAGCAACTCTACCTTAGTCACCAATTTGTGTCGGCTCTCTGGTTTCCCGCTGAGCGACAGTTATCGTTTGCCAAGTGCGTAACTGTAGAGCAGTGTAAATGTAGGCGACCTTACTCAAAAACTTTTTCTGGAATTGTGTCGTAACTATGAACCGTCAGCCCTAATGCATTTTTGTCTCCAAGAAGACTGCCTGATGTTGGGCACGTATTGTTTCTGACAGATGCGCTAGTTAAGTGCTTTAAAAATGGGGCTGTTCTTCGTAGGGTGCCCCTTTTCGTAAGACTCCGGGAGATGGATCTGCCTGGCTTAGTGCAAGCAATTGTTCTTAAACATTTTTGTTTCTTTTCTTTTTTCAGTGTTCGTCACGCCAAGAGTCACTGTGGTCACGGACACGAAGCCATCTAAGGGCTCCAAGCCCGTTCATGCAATTGAACCGTCTATGGTGGGTATTAGCAGTGCATTGAAAGTGGTTTTATATCTTACCTGAAGCATTGCGAGTTGAGATTAACTTGGTTTAGCAGAAAAAGTTCTGCACAGCACTGCATTTGGCTTGATGAGCTAAAGAATGAGTGATGTGCATCGCTTGGTGAGATGCAGTGGTAGTAACGAAGGAGTTGTCGACAATTGAAAGCTCTGAAAGTCAAATGACCAGAGTCATGCTGGACTGGCACTAAAATTGTTGGCCTTTATTTGACCGGGTTGAGCTGATGCAAAGGTCCAGGGCCCATGCCTCTTTGGCTCAACGTTTTGCTATCTTGAAACTTTAAAAAAGGGTGACCTGCCATATTAGGCTAAGCACTCGGTCAGTGTGGTGAAGCACAGGTCATCAGAATTGAAACATTATTGGACTTCGTTATCAGTTCCACTGCTGCTATTTGAAAGATTTGCAACACTTAAAAGTGTGCGCCGGACCCATAGAAGCAGCCATATATGGCTGCTTCTATGGCAGTGGACTATCGGTGCAGCAGCATCTTCCCTGGGGAGCTCCTATTCTTGGGTGGATTAGGGGTACCTGTATTTTAACTGTTTTTGGAAGGTGTAAGGCTGGCATTTACCTCAAATTTCTTCACTTCCTGATGTCCAGCTTGTACCTGTGCAGAGTGCATCACAACTGAGAGGAATATCTGAAATCTATGACTACTAAAGTTTTGTACTTGTATAGTTTTCTTCTTTAATTAACCACGTGCGTAGTTCAACTAAGTGGAAGTGGTAAAGTTTATCGTAAGGAATGTTACCTTGGGCGTGCATCCAAGGCTAAAAATTCTGTTATACAATTTCTGTTACAAACACGAATAGTTTATGTGATAGCTAAGATGAACAGGAAATAGTCCTGCTTAACCTAAACTTGGGAACTGAAGGGTCTAGTACAAGTTTTGCATTTATAAAGCAATGATCTGCAAAACGTGGCAGTCTGCAATATTCAGTCTACCCGAATATGAATGTAAAGCTTCCCTGCAGGCATATTCGATTGCTTTTGGCACCTGGTAATTCAATTGCTCTCGGCGAATGCTTTTCAGCCTGCAGTGATTGGTGCCGATTACTTCGAGCTGGCAAGCCCGAAGTAACCAATTATTGTCACTTTTAGCTGAAAGTTAATCTAGCCGATTACCTCTTGCGTTTTAAAGATTCTAATGTGCATCAGGATTCACAGTCTTGAGCAGTGGTAAAAGTGGCTGCCAGTGGGTGCAAAACTAGCTTTGAACGCCAGCCTATCTGCATCTAGCACCTTGCGGCTGAGGAGAGAGAGGTTTCCGTGTTGACTTCTTTTCTCCCGATTCTTTCCACAGCCTGAAGGCAACGAGATCCCCGAAATAGTCGTTCCCTCAACGTCGACACGGGGTCCCGGCGACGTCGGCCTGGCTCCCGCGGAGACAGAGGATGAGGGCAATGCATTAGGCAATGACGTGGCGATCCTTCAACGCAAGCAGGACGACCGGCCGTCCTCCTTTTTTGCTCAGCCTGGCATTTTGGCAGGTGAGTGGTGCTCCCCGCAGGCTTTGCTTTGTTGCTAAAAACAGATTTTGTCGCACGTCGACAGAAACTTGGGTTGGCAACATTGGAGACTTGGTGTCTCAACCACGAATGGATAAGAGCATTTTAATAACAAAGAAGGCTGGAAGACTGGTGGAGATTACCTAGGGAGAATTGAATGCTGTACAGCTAACGCATCTGGGGACAGGCGGGACGGGGGAAAACAAGACCTCCTGCGTGGCTCCGAAACCAAAGTCTCAACCCCGCCTCTCTGTGGGCCTGGTGCTGGGATAATGCCAAATAGGTTTGACCAGAAAAATATTTGGCAACTCCCTCGCCAGAAAGAAGAGGCGGGGAGGGATGTTTTTAGTTTTATTGCCCGACCGCCTAAGGTCATCCTGGTGATATCCCACACTGCCTGGTGATGGTTACGAAATTGCAGAGAAGCTAATTGGCTCAGAAGGGCGAAGGGAGGAATCATGCTTTTGGTTTTCATTTCTGGGCTAGGTGGCGCAAGCTGCTGCCCGTTGTAAATAGGGAAGCTATACTTAGCGTGGGCGCAACTCAATAATGGCGGCCCCTGAGGGAGAGCATTGGGAAGGATATGCACCAATGTTGCCTGCACAAGAGCAGACGCCCGCTCTGTTGCCCCATGAGTCTTTCCTCCTCATTTCCAATTGCAAGCAACGAACGCCTTGGTGTAGCCTTTCTTGCTTTCTTCTCGCTTCAAGAATCGCAAACGTCAAGAGGAGAAAGCAAGGTTGCCAGACAAGCAGCAACATCCAAGATGGCAAAATTTGCCATTCTTCGCTGGTGGCTATGGAAAAGTAATCATTTATATTTTGAGTAAATTATTCAAGCACATTAACGGGCTCTTATGACCAGAGTTGGGAAATAAAATTACCCTTTGCCCTGCAGATCCTCCCAGCAAAATTTAGCAATTGAATGGCGTCCATGTCCCGTGATCCCAGACCTAGCAGTTGCGCCCACCCCAACTAGGGCCTCCTTAGTTGTAAATGGTACAGCCATCATGATCCATCCATCCAGCTGTAGATGAGAAACTTGGATAGTGCTATGTGGCCAGTAGCCTGGAGTTTATGACGAGCGGGGCAGAATTGTGATACATGACCGGACTCCGGGACAACGTTCCTCCAGGCTAAAGTGGGAAGGGGGTAGGGATTGGAGCATGGGATCCCGGGTTCCGCAGCGCAACCTTTTGCTCCACATGCTCGGAGCTACAGTGCGTCGACATACTTGGCCATCGTTCCCCCTTCCTTCATTGGCCCCGATCCTGGTGGGTGACTTGCAGTAGTGTACAGCATTTGCTTGCCCAGATCGTAACGTAGCACGTTGGTAGGCGAGACTAAGATGTGCTTAAAGGTACAGCGTATGCGTATCGAGGTGCCTGCATATGTAACGAGTAGGATTGCTTGTTTTTGGTATGTGCCAATAAACCCTTGAAAAGTAACCTTTGAACTGTATTTTTTGAAATCGGGAGAGGAAAATAAGAGAACCCAGTTTTCTCGAAATTTCTATCTACGGCTTTATCTCGTGTTCACCCAAGACACAGCCTGCACCAAACAGTCCGCGATGCTGCTCCTTTCCTCCGAAAACGCCCCTTATCATGTTTTTATTTAAATTTTGTTTTTTGTTATTGGTATAGGGATGTCTTCTAATTATTTGAGTCTTGTATGTTCACAGGAGGTTTGGAAACAATGCCCCATGTTCTTCTGCACATGCCCCATAAATGCAGACATCTTGCCAGACACGGAAACTCTTAAAACCCGGTGGGGGAGAGAAAAAAAATTGAACCTCGACAACACTGAAGCAAAGCAGCACGAAATTATTCTTAGCCACCTCAAGGGCCTAAATGGTGTCATGCGAGGCTATAGAATGTGGTGTCACAACCCCACCCAATTCGACCTTGTGCCAGCTGGAAAAATTGCTTAAAGGGACCATGAAATTACCTTTTTACTTTGGGCAAATTTTTACATTAAATCAACAATGTGTGCCGAACAGGCATCCGTTTTCGTTTCGGTTTATTAACTTCTACACGAAAAATTATTGAAATACTGAATTTTTCTTGCTCTTCAACTCGCCGCAAAAACCAGTTGAGACGTAATTTTGACGGTCGTAACGTGCTTTGTTACCGGAAGTTCTCTCAGCAGTAGGAGAATGGGAGCATTAGCAGCAAGCTGGGGGTGTGCCGGTAGGTTTTATCCTAGCAACGTAGAAATGTGATTGCATGATCACATAGACGTTGCGATTGTTCAAGGAATGCTAAAATTCGCACCCTTCATACACTCCTTTAAATACAGTATGCACCAGTAATATCTTGAACTTGATCACATGCATGAAATGCGCAAAATAAGAAGTCCGGGCGATGTTCGAAGAGACAAATGCTAAGAAAGCACCACTGTAGTCGAAGCAAAGATGATGGCACAAGCATTTCTGCTGTCTTGAAGGTGCTGCCACAACATCACCGCACGGGTAGATGGATCTTTTCTTCTAGGATGTGCTGGGTTATCCGCTCGACGCCACGAGAAATCGGTCAAGAATAGCACTCTGTGCGAAACGATGAGCTTCCACGAAGCGGACCACGTCAACGATCACACCCAACGCCATATTCTTTTAGCAGAGGAGGAACCGCGACTGTCGCACGTGTAGTCTTATCTTTTTCTTGCTTCGTTTACCGCACCATAGGTGGCGTATAGCTCCTAGTTGTTGCACTAAGATTCATTTTTCAACAATTTCGTTCAAGGGATACTACAGCGAAATTTCGGCGCTTATTTCTTGGTCTATGGGAGCAGTATTGTATCGTACACACCAATCGCTTGTTGCAAAGACAGGAAAAGGAATTTAAAAATTAAACTATTAGTGAAGAGCACCTGGTGGGTGTCACTAAAGCCTCGCTTGTAATGCCGGTCTAGGAACCTTGGCAGGTAATGACTATGTCGGTCTTGCCGCGAACTACACGCGTGCCCTGAACCTGACATCATCCTGCCATCACTCCGGCCACCACGAGAAAAAGAGGAACTCCCCTCTCACTGGGACTATTTTGTGTCCCAGACATTGCTATTGTCCCTCTACAAGACGATTCACCTGCCGCTCATAATTCATACAAAAGCAGCTTTGTGGTTAGTGGCAGTGGCCCGATCGCTGGCATGCTTCGGCCTAGCTGGAGCAGCTAGGACATTCTGTTGACGTTGCCCTCGCCGCAGCTTTGCTCGTCCCGAGACATTCTACGTCACGATTGTGCCGAATCTCCCGTGCTCACCGGTGGCTGGTCTCCGAGCGCTTGCCAGAGTAAGCAGTTTGTAACGAAGAGTAGCCATGAGGCTCGATATACAAACGTGCGTTTCTGATTTACGGATATTGCGGATCATATTCAGCCTATTTGTGAACACGACGGGTATATTTTAAATTTTGAAGTATCCCTTTGAAATGTCCATTCTGAATGAAACCTAGCTAGCTCTCCGACCTGAGCCTTATTTCTATAAAGAAGGCTGCATGTTCCTTTTGCATCCTTCCTATTATTACAAGAGGTAAATAGTATGCTTCACTACAAGGAACAATAACCATAAATTTTTTTCAAAGATGCAAACTTATTTAACAATGCAATCATTTTTTTTTTCATGCGAAATGTTAACAGATGTTGCGGTCTGCTTCAGAAGTGTCAGTGGCTGCTTTAAACCAATAATTCACCTGCTACCAAACGTCTAATACCACTTCCATCACTGCAACTGCGATTTTGGATTGGGTCCTCGCCTGTGGGCATGCAGCATTAATGAGAGAGCACTGTTATTCCCTGCATGACTGCACGGTCTCCCGCCATGTTTTTACACTCTGGGCGATAACAAAACGATCATCCGACAGCACCACCGGTGTCATGAAAGCATTGCACGCCCCTCCGTCGTTTGTTCAATCACAACTAGCACCATCTCTCAATGTTGCTTTGCACTATCAAGGCGGTGACTAAATTTCCGTAACACGGTACAGTTTGTATCGTGAAACTTTGGTGCAGGAGGCCTCTTGATATGCTCGCTGCATTTTGTGGATGAGGAATATGCAGATTGCAAGTCATGTTTCTTGTACAGGGGCTGCGGTGATGTCAGAGCTACGCTGAGTTTTGATTGGAATGATCATGAGTAGACCTCGATGCTAGATGCTTCTAGGTCTTCCCACGATTTTTTTTTTTCAATTGGCCAATAAGAGCTTAGCCTTCCGACATCATGGAAACCCTTGTGCACAAAGCAGAACTTGCTCTTCGTATAAACCTAAACGAAGTCTACCGAGGCTCCCTGGTAATGAAATGCAGAAAAACTTGAAGTGAGGTGCCTCCGTTTGTGGAGGCGGTTACACACCTGCTGCGTGTTAAATGATGAAGTACAAATGGGGATCGTTCTAAGGGAATGTCAATCGATAAGCAGCACTCGTACACTTTGAGGGTGGCACTGTTTGGGATTATATGTGAGCATATTCTAACTTGCATGGTTTTTATTGGTCTCGTGAACCAAATTTTATCGGGGAATTATGGTGTGTCTGCTCTGCACATGTTGTTGCGCATGTCACGTGCAAATTAAATGACTAATTGTTTGATTTGGATCCGGCAATATTATTTCTGTAGCTGCAGGATATCTGTAAGCATAAGTATTTATGAAACCTTGCTCGAGTCGATCATGGCACTCCACTACACTTAAGTCCCTTGATCCTTTCTTTTGACACCTGTGACAAAGCACATTCCGTTCGAACAAAATGGCGTGTTTCAGTTTCTTCTGCTATGTGGCGCTAATGGCTGCCATGAGCCTACATCGTCACACACTCGACGCTTCAAAGTATATTGGTACTTCTAGGAGATGTGCAGTGCAGTTTTTATTAAGCCATTAACATTTAAGCATCGAGAAGCAGACTTGGACGTAGTTCAAATACTCTACTCAAACTACTGTAGTTTAACTACTTTTCCGAGTAACTTGGTAACTTTCAATTACAACTCTATTTGGGTA